CAGATATCATAACAGAACAGAGCATATATCCATATCATATCAGAGATGTGCGCCGTCATTCCCAAGGGAGGACCCCAAGCGAAAATCAACGCACGTGTTCCCGAGGGAGGACCCCAAAGCGGAACCAGACATATCAGAGGCGTACACCATCAGTCCCGAGGGAGGACCCCAAAGCGGACATCCGGGTACTATACAATCAATGGCCAGAGATTGTTACAGAAATCATATTACAGAAGTCATATCAGAGCAAAACATATCATGTTATCAAATAACTCTATATGAATGCATCTATACAAAGCATCTAAATCACAGTCATACAGTCCAACCATAGTTCACTAACCATGGTGGAGCACTCAAGCAGGAAAAGACTCCTTAAACATAGAGCTTACCTCTTGAAGCTTTACCAATACGCTTACTTGTGGAACAAGTTACTTTTATCGCTTCAAGAGATTTCCGATCCTTCTCAATCCCTAGGCACACCTAGAGAATAATTTACAATGCATCAATAAAATGATACAATACCATAATTATTTCATAAGCATACATTTTATCGCTTATTTTCCTTTCTTTGCATTTTTGCCAATCCTATGCCAATACACAAGTCTAGACCTCTTTATAACCGTTGGTGTTCTTTAATTTAATCAACCATTCCCTTAGGAATTTTCAACATAAATCATGCTATTTTTCTTCAAAACTCATCACCTTTATACAATTTATTACAACACATTTTATTTAAAATAAAATGTACAAAATATATCCCTAAATACCCTATAGGTCGAATCCTATAAGGGGAATTTCCAAAGATCCTTCTCTTTTACAATACATTTTCGTTACTTCATTACAACTTGCAAACACCTAGGAATGCTTCCACTAAATTCCTATTTTGAGTTTAGACACCAAGTCCTTTTTACTTAGGCATTCTTACTAACTCATCCATTTTCACTCATTTCCAACACACTATACCTTCACAATACATAATATAATTTTTCCACAATAACTCCTACTCACTCCATGATGGCCGAAACCTAGGAGGAAGATGCAATAGGGCTTTTAAATTTTTATATCACATGTGGATGCTTACTCAACACTATAACTTCCTAAACAACAATAATCTATCATAAATTTCACATTCTAACATCAATTATTCCCCACTCACAACATGCTCATATATTTCATAACTTAAATCATCAAAATAATATCATGGAAATAGAGGTTTCTTACCTCTAAACACTTGTACAAAGCCTAGAGAGCAATCTCCAAGCCAAGCTCCATCAAAAACTCACTTTTTCTCCTCCAATGAATAGTAACTCGAAAATGAGAGGAGGAATAACTCTTCACACACTCAACTATAGCTCAAATGGATAGGTGCAATGGATTCATTGAGTAGTTCCTAATCGATTTTATGTGGTGGGTCATTAGATTTGGTGGAAGATTCAAAGAGAATCAACAAAATCAAAAAAAAATACCCTAACCCCCTTTCTCATGGTGCAGCTCGGGTTTGGAGTGAGGAGAGGAGAGAGAATTTTATTTGGAAATGAAGCTTAAGTGACTTAAAAAGGTGAGCACATGTGGCCTTTTACCCGGGTATTTTTCTTTCGCGTATTTTCACTTAAACTAACCCGGAACTAACTCAAAGCTACAAATATATTTTTATTTTTCTAAAGTCCTTTACATTAACTGTTATTTTCTAAGGAACAATATTTATAATTCACAGTATGGTTTTTGCACCGTTTTTAACGAAATGCACTGTGAACCACTAACTGTACTTTATTAAATTCTGAAACTTAACACTTATAAACTTATCATTTTCTTGGGCCTATATTGACTTGCTTGGCATATATTGGACTTTCTTATTCTTATTTCATCAGTTATTTATTTCTGGACTCTACCGGTTGCTTAAACAGCAGTACAAAATACCCGGTAGAAACACTATTCACGAGATTTTCACGGAAAGTGCCAGACTATACAATTTTTCGTTCTGAACTCATATTTGTCATCAGAATTTTCAAATTATGTTCCTAAAATTATTTTGCTCATTTTAAGCTCTACCGGTTAATTCACAAAACTGTAAATTCTCCGGCAGAACGCACTGTTCATAACATAGTCATGATTACAGTCAAAATACTCGAAATCGCTCACTGAATCTAATTATGGCATTTAAATCCTTAAATTAAATCTCTAACTAAGATTTACCAGTTAGGGTCATTATACACCACATTTCCTTCCTTATTTTCATGGGGTAACCATGCATATATGTCTATTTCCTAAGTTCAAATTCAATTGTACTTGCCATAACAATTACGAACAAAAAAACCCTTGCTATACTTTTTTGGTTTGTGGTAATAATTGATCTATATATCTCTGAAAAACGAAAATTTGTATTTTTATATGAGTTTTTGTTTTGGTTGCAATAAATGTATTATCGGATAGATTTTGATCAACTAAAGTCTTTCTCCGAAAGCTTGATCTAGTGACGAGGAATTTGAGTAGTTTATATTAATCATTCTCCGAACAATCTTAAATGTAACCTTAAATAACAACTTAAAAGAACTAATCTTTGAAGTATGAACTTAAAATTTTGACATGAATAATTAAAATAAGTAAAATGGGAGTTGATATGTTGAAATTATCCATTCCCAAGAAAAACATTTTATAAGAAGGAAGATATTAGTTTCAATTATCTTTGGTTTAGATAAACTCACATATGGAATTAATTGTGCGAAAAAAGTGTCCGTTAATCTGGATGCATTGTTCGTTGGGAATGAATCCTCTATTTATAGATAAAATCCTAATACATTCTCTATAAACGATTAAGATCATCTTACATGATCTCAATATCTATTCCCTCGTCGGTCCAATTTGTCCAACTTGAACTTCACGCAATAGCTAAATTTTCCATTCCTTTTTTTTTTTTTTTGAGCAAAAAATTTCCATTCCTTAGTATAGCTTTTGCAAGCGAGCATGGAACTCATAAGGAAAAAGATAATAATTAACACCACACACTCCCCCTCTTGGTACATCTATCTAAGATACACCACAAAGTGTCATCTCTCTAACAGTTTGCATGCTTATGACATTATAGTTATTATCAATACATAAAGCAACAAGAGATCCATATCAAAGCTGGTGAGATAGTCTATGCTGCAAATGTCAGGTCTCTGTAATGTTCAAAATAGAATAGTTGAAAACGCTATTGACAAAGTGCTACTCCTCTACCAATCACCATGAAGTTCATGGCAGAGAAGTCCCAAAAGCCTGATGCCAATAGAATCAAGAGAAGACACAAAAAGACATATCCTGAAAAGGTTATGTGGGTGAATGTCCTAATCCATTAAGACCTTTACGAGGAAGGGTCTCAAAAGAAGAGAAGCCTTGGGACTGTAGAGAATGGGGAAGGTAAGAGACATTGCTCGGACATCAAGTAGTACTTAGGTAGTAAGACACCAGAGGTGTATTATTGCTTTACTTCCAGGTTTGTTGGAAGTATTTTAGGTAAAAACCCTTGTTCTTGAAACTTGTTTTTCTTTTATTTATTTGGGAAGAAAGGATTCACTTACCATCAATTAAGTTTATCACTTCTTATCACTAAATCTTAATTATTGATTTCTGTTAATCTAACGGTTATAATTTATTGGATGACACTTATTAATTAATTATTAATTCCCAATAAATTATAACCATTAAATTGACGGAAATCTACGATTAAAATTTTATGATAAAAAATGGTAAAGTTAATAAACGGTAAATATACCTTGCCCTTTAAATTTTTAGATACCAATCACTGTCCAAAACCCAAATGAAACTGAGTAATCCGATTTTAGGTTTAAACCTCTTCGCCCTTTACGGGAGTTGCAGCTCTCATGAATTGAATCCACTATACAATAACTCCTGGGTTGTTCTCCTTTTGCTTTAATTCATGAGTAATTCTTCCAAACTTCACCAAAAAAAAAAAAAAAAAACTAAATGGAATAAAGATGTGTGTTCAGATCACTCATCACTACAGGATGAATCCAATACATGTTTGCTGGGCCTTTATTTATTTTTGTACAAATGTTTGCTGGCCTTCAACAAACAATGAGTCAATGACATTTGTTGAAAAGAAAAGAAAATTACTCCCTGTCAAATTATTGATCCAATACAATAATAATAAAAAAACTAATTGAATTTTTTTTAGGCTGTTTCTAAAGTGAATGTAGATAAGCTATCTACATTCGCTCCCAAAACGACGTCGTTTTGAATTGAAAATTTAAAAAATTATAATGAAAAAGACTATTATAACCTTGAAATAAATTATAATTACAAAAATACATTGATTTCCGCCTCAAAACGACGTCGTTTTGGACTCACTATAGATAAGTTATCTACATTGACCGTAGAAAAAGGAAACCTTTTTTTTATTATAGTAAACTGTGAAAAGTTTGTTTTATACAATAGCATAATGGAAATTTAAACTTATGATCATTTTTGCAAGTTAAACTCTTACTATTTTTCTTTTCCATTCGTTTTTAAATTATCAACTGGATAAAAGTCTAAATATCTAACAACCTAATGATCATAACGTATGGTGATAAATCTATAGATAGATTATTGGTGTCAATGTTTGATACACATTTAATGATTATATTATTTGTTATTTTTTTTCATTTAGAGGGCATATGAAACTTGAGTTAGATGAGAATTTCGCTCTAGAAGATCACTCTATGTTTATCAGGAGAGTACCATGTCAAGAGGAACACACTTAGTTACCCTCCTAAGTCACAAAGGCAAAAAATCAAGTCAGCTCTTTCCTTTCCCTTCAAAGTTGAAATTTCAAAGCATCACTGACCAACTTTCTGAATCATCATAGTCGTTCACTTATTTGACATGGATGATCAAAGCACAGAAAGTCCATTATTCATTTACACATATTTTCTCATATACCCTTAAAATATATTGAAACATACAGATTTTGCTTGTGAAAATTCCTACAATAGGCTCTTTGGAGTTCAGTAAATTCATTATCATCTTATAAGTGTCAAACCAATAGCAGTGATTATAAGAGTGGAAGGAAGGCCAAATTTCAGATGGTTCCAGAAGGTTAATGTGTATGAAAGGTTTGGAGCTCGGCGAGCTTGTTCACACACTATCAAGTTGGCAGCAGATCCTAATAGTGACAGGTTCCCTGCTATGGTGCTGACCCAAGCTAAGATGAGCCATGCCTTATTCTCATCTTCTTTGGAAATTGCAGCTGCTGAGGCTGCAACTTGTGCTCCAAGCAATAGTACTAGAAAATATAAACACAAGATTGGTAAATGAAGATAAACCTCCTTTATAACTAATGCTAGATGTATAAGGATTTAAGTTGTTTTGTGAAGTTTTTTATTTTCCAAAGAAAGTGAAAATAATTCTGTCCAGAAAATTTTATATACTATATCTCAATGTGTTTTGCACATTTACACACTTGTGACTCCATTAAGTGCAATGAATGATCTTTTTTGTGCCCCACAAGTGAAAACTTCAGGAAAAATAAAATCTCAACATATTTCTTCTTTGTATGAACCTGCTGTTTAGATCAACCAGGGTCAAAAAATCTAAAGAATATCCAGAACTGCACCTTTCAGGAAAACTGCGGTTATTGTTCTCTACAACTATGCCTTTTTGTTTAAAACATAGCTAATAATTAAAATTTAGAGGAACATATCTTCCATTATTTGTTTGTTCTGAAGGTGGGAAACTTTAACTTATTTATAAATTGTATTGAAAATGGGACTTGTTTATAATACTTCAGTTGATTAGTTCATGTTCTGCTGATTTTAAATAGAACATCTTGAAAGCTGATGAACATCTGGCAACCTATCAATTGGTAGTTTTTAAAATTTTACATGATTTATAAGTTAGCACTTATGCAGACATTTAATTAACAAATTATGTACTATTTCTGCATGCATCTTCCATGAACTGTTTTCTTTTTTGCTTGATTCTCTTAACACAATTTCCCACCAATTGTAGGTTGCAAATCATAAAGGACAGAAGCTACTATATTGACAATGTCTAAGCCCTCCCTCGACTATGAAAAGCCTTAATAAAGATATTCAAGTGCTTAAATGATTTCTGCAAATAACTCATGCATGCAATTTCCTTACTAGTTCCGGTCTTTCTTGGATTGCTATGAAATTTGCAATCAGAAGCATTTTAAGAATAAACACAGTGAACATGGAGAAAGCAGACTTCACAATTCAGTGTTCCTACTCAAACAAGTTGACGCATTCAATGTTAACAAAATTCATATGACATGTGGAACAAAAAAGCAGAAAGAAAGAAAATATGAAAGCGTAAACAGAAACAGATGATGAAATTATTCTGTCACAATTATAGTCCACTTACCAGTTGGTACATTTGAAGCCAAATTTGATAGGATTAGTATAACTAGAGCAAGTATTACTATTCCACTAGCATGATCTACCTGAGAATATGGCTCCATGAAGTCCCAAAGAGCACTTGGAATTCCAGTTCTGTTGAAGCCATCTACTGTGATAAACATTCCACAAAAGAATATCAAAAGTGAATAGGAAACCTGTTCCAAGAAGAAAAATCATTCTAAGAGATTATTCAAAATTCAACTGGCACCAGAATAAGAGTGGCTACTGTTTCAAGGGGAAGAGACAAAAAGAGATTTTAACCAAGAGGTTGTGTTTATAGGTTTTACCTTCTCTAAGCATGGCCTAGCATCCTTGAAATCAAGAACCACCAAAGTTAGTGCAGCTGTGATTGCAGTCCATGACATATTCAAACCTAGAAGCATTCCAATCAACATTCCTAATGTGATAGTGAGAACACAAGATTTCCAAAGTACCCTTTTCCATTTTTCGTTTATATAGTCCTTTTCTTCTGCAGAGGGCATAACATGTGCTTCTATTGGTTTATCTACTGCTACAACAGTTTTTGAAGGATTAGTTTCCTCCCTAGTCTGAGAAGCCATATCATTTGTCCCCTCTACTGATGCATTTGAGTTTCTTGTGGAATCCAGTGTACATGTGCTGCTAAGAACATTGTTAATTTCACTTTCAATTGGTGCTGATCGGTTTCTTAGAGTCTGAACTTGAGGAGAGTTTTGAATATTAATAGATTCTAGACAGTCATTCCATTCTTGAGAATTTATTGATGTAAAATGAGACATTGTAGCTGGAGAAAACTGATGGGAATTAACCTCCTCTTCTGCTGCAACTTCTTCAACTGGATCCTCTTCATCCTTATGAATAGATAACAATCTCCAATACATGGTTATAAGAATTAAAGCATTCACTACAACTCCTACAATCATAGCTGGAAGAATACCAGTAAGAAACTTCCCAAATGATATTTTACTCTGAACAGCTATAACAAGATTTTGAGGGTTGCCAATTGGAGTTGCTGAGGACCCAATATTAGCACTAGAAGCAAGTGCAAGTAGGAAAGGATGTGGTGGTAGAGTATGCTGCCTTGCAATTTTCAATATGAATTCAGTCAAAACAACACAAGAGGTGTCATTGGTGAAAAGAGCACTTGATACAGCAGAAATCAAACAGATTCTACAAAGTAAGTCCTTTGCTCCTCTACTTTTCCAAGAGAGCAATTTCCCTATGTATTTAAACATGTCTGCTCTTTCAAGATAAACACTGACAACCATTGTTGCAAAAAGAAGACCAAGAATTGGAAGATCAATTGCAGCATAAGCTTGATCTGGAGTAATAACTTGGAATAAGACCATAAGCATTGCACCTAGCAAGGACCCTGCAGTTCTACCAATTGGTAGAAAAGGCACTGATGGGAAAACTGCTAATACCCAAAAGATTGCAAAGGCTATTGATCCTAGAACAACTTTTGGAATTGGAGCCAGTGCCATTATTGTGGCTAAACAAGCAACAATCAGTTCCAATCAAAGATTAAAAACTCCACCTCTAGGCGATTAACAATATAACACAATGGAATTTGGTCTAGTGGAATGAAATTTCCTGAACATGAAAAGCCAATAATTAGTAAGAATGCATGGAAATCCAACTTTTTTGAGAATCAATTTCTTATTCAATCCACTACTGTGAAACTGGAATAATTTCAATCATTAATGTCATTGAAGATTAGTAAGAGGGCGAGCCTCGAGTAGTGGTAAAATTGCTCTTTTGTGACTGAAAAGTCACTGGTCCAAATCCAAAAAACATCCTCTTTGCAAATATGTAAGAGTAAGGTTGCCTACAAGGATTGTTTTTACCCCTGCCGTCGCTAGTCGAGATTTAATAAGGAGTGGTTTTAATGTCAATGAAGATTAGTGATCAGGCAGGTGGAGCAGATATGTTCATGGTATCTTACAAAGCTTAAACAATGACAGAAAGTCAACGTTGAGCGAAAAAATATGCAGTAGATACTAAGAAAGACTGGATATAAAAAGAAATTTTCTTAACTCTCAAAAAGCATAGATCTGTAAGTTTGCAAAGAAAAAAAAAGTGAACAACTTCAACCATAGATTTCAGATAATGCAAGTCTCTGTACTCTTCTTAGTGAATTCAAAGAAACCACAAAACCCAGAAATGGAAAACAGTAAGAGCACATATAACAAACTTACTTAGCTAAATAAATATTAATATTAAAAAAAAATATGACATTCAATCTCAATGATAAATGTGAAAACCCATATCCTTACTGTTTCGTTTTAATTTCACTCTATTATTGTAAATGTATTGTGCAAATCATCAGCAAAGATATCATATAATATTTACTCCAAGAAAACTAGATAAGAAAAACATCACAAACGCGTCCGACACATCTTACATTCTTAATCTTGCCTTAAAAAATGTCTAACTTGGAAGCTCACATCCGTTTGCTGTCCCTGAATTGGATTTATGATTTCTGCATGAAAAGCTATAAAATTTTTGAGTCCCTTTTTCTGAATTGAGAGCGAGAAATATTTTAATGTATCAAAAAAATGATAGAAGAGAATTGCAGCATCATCAGAGCTTTAAAGTCATAGCCACATGGTGAAACGTGACCCTCTATTATATAGTTGCAATCTGAAGAACAATATCTATAAACGGCGACTTCAGAAACCATAAGACAATCATATTTCCTCATTTCTTTTTCTTCTTGTGGGCCATCAAATTATAGGCACAAAATAATTTTTCTATGCACCAAAGATGTCTTAGTCTATTAGAGTCTCCGTGACAACCTTCTTATAATTATTTCTTTTTCAATTTTTATTTGCGAGAACAGAAATAGATAGCAACAGTATTTGATAAAATTGATTTATTTTTTATTTCTGAGAATGAATCAATTCAATTTATGTGGTGAAAAAAAAATAAAAATTTCTACCTTTTTTGTTTTGTTTCCGGACACGTAATAAGAAATAATTGTCTCTCTCAATCACTCTCCACCACTACCATCCTGACACGATCATCGCCACACCATCGTCGTACCACCACAGCCATCGTCACCACCCACCACCACCATGATGCCACCGCCACCATCACCGCCACTTCCACGCCTCTGCCACCATCACTACCACCATGTCATCGTCACCATCATGCTAGCCCTACCGCAGCCACCACTACCACCACGCCGCCACCACCATCGCTATCATGTCACGACCACCGCCACCATCATTGTCGCCTTTGTCGTACTACCACCACCACACCACAACCATCGCCACAATTATCATCATCATCACCACTATCTCGACACGACCACCATCATCGTTGTCGCCGTCGTCACCACCACCACCACCAAGATGTCATTGCCAACATCACCACCACCTCCACGTCATCGCCACCACTCCCACCGCCGTCGCGACCACTATCATCACCACCACTACTACCATTATCGCCACCATTGACATTATTACCACAATCATCACCACCACCATCGCCGCCGCCATCATGCCATAACCACCACCACCACCACCATACCACATGAAAAAGAAAGTGATGATCTGAAAATTAAATTTTTTATGCTTAATATGAATATTTTTTATTCTATTATTTGTTGTATTATCAAACGAATAAAAATAGAATATGTTATCAAAAACATTTTTAGAAACTGTTCCAAGGCACATAAATAGAAAATAATTGTTTCTTTTCGTAAACATTCTAGGAAACAAAATGGTTGTCATGCACATTAATAAATGGTTGTCATGCACATTAGTGTTCCAACTAGATCCGAAGATTTGACTTAGGGTAGTGAGTTTGATTTTCCTAAGAGTCAGCAATTCCTAAGAAGGGTGGAGAGATTCTTGTCAGGCGGGTCCAGGGGGAAGCCCGTGGCGGGGGACCACTACCAATGAGCTAAGGCTACACCAACCGTAGCAAGTGGATCTGACACCATGTTTCAACCCAAAACCTTAAGGCATTGGGTTCATGGGTCTCTTCCACTTATATACTCTTCACTTAGCTCATTACCAACCAATGTGGGACTCATCACACTTGAATATCTCAACAATCTCCCCCTCAAGTGTAAAACCCACCATTGATATGCTCCCCCTCAACCAAGTACCCGAAGCGCAAAGTACTCGACCGCCTCCTAGCCAATCACTAGGCTAGCTCGAGCCAATCACACTTGAATATCTCAACAATTCTAACGTGAAACCGGATTAGTGGGCACATTAGTGCTTCCAACACCGATCGGTTATTATTTGAAAAAAAAATTGATGCTAGCAATCTTTTTAAAAAATACAAATGAATCTTGCGCAGTAAATATTCTGACTCAACTTCATAATTAAAACAGTTAATAGTGCATATCTGAGTCAAGTCGCAACACTTTACCATATAATGGAAATTTGTATATTCATTAAAGTGAGGTAGTAGATATTTAATATCGGATAATAAATGTGTAACACTAAGTAGTAAATAGTTTGCCAACCTATTGCTTTGTCAAAGTAGGTTAACAAACTATGCAAATATATGTTAATGCCATAATTAGCACTTAATATTAAGTTGTAATTATCTTAAAACTATCTTAATATTAAGTATCACATGCGTAACTGGAGTGCTAGTGTTGAAATAGTGAGTGTCGTTATATTATTTTATACTACAATCGGAATAATGTCAAGTTAAAATAGGTAAAATCATTCTTGACATTGAGAGTGACAACAAAGTAAATATGGTGGATAACTTTTGACTTTAAAAATAGTAATAAGTTGGGTAGTAAATATTTAATAACAGATGATAATTATCTTAAGACCACCCAATGGCTAAACCTAGGTAGTAAATGGGAGAGGTTCTGACTTATTAGTTTTGTCATGTCATTGTATGAGAGAAAATTCATATAGAATTTTATGAGTGATTCTCCTATTTTGTATAAATAATAATGTATTATCACATATCAAGAGAGAAGTGTAATTGTATTCTCCTTACATATATAGAAAAGTTACAATTTCTTTCACTTAGTGATAATGTATCTATTATCATATGTGGTTTTTTTCCTTATTTGAGGGTTTTTCATGTTATGTATTATTAGCCAAGTCAAAATTTTCTTAACTCAATTTTTTTTTTGGTGAAATTCTTTCCATAACTTTTGGCCATGCACAACAATGTCATGAGAACTTATTGACTGCTAGTTATTATTCACGGTAAGGTCCTGTTTACGATTATTGTTCACACGTATAGTTGTATATTTTTGTAGTATTGTTAACGAATATATATATATATATGGGGCAAGATATTCTTACACTAGTGTAAGAGTTAGAAGTCTTACACTCAATCTTGACCATTGATCCACTTGTATCCAATGACTCACATTACTAAAAAATTTGAGCCCTTAGATATAAATGGGATCAGTGGACAAGATTAAGAGTGTAACTTACACTGGTGCAAAATGATCCTAACTCTATATATATATATATATATATATATATATATATTGACCCATATAGGGGTAGGATATTCTTACACCGGTGTAAGAATTAGAAGTCTTAATTACACTCAATCTTGACCATTGATTCACTTGTATTCAATGGCTCACATTACTAAAAAATTAGAGCCCTTGGATATAAATGAGATCAATGGACAAGATTGAGAGTGTAACTTACACTGGTGTAAAATGATCCTAACCCATATATATATATAGGGATAAACATTTCTACAGCCACTTTAGATAAAGCTATCTACAGCCTATGAAATACCGACACTTCAAAATCCCTGACGTGTCGTGTCTGACACTTCCTGACACTTACCGACACTCCGACACTTCTCGACACTTCCTGACACTCCAATATTTGTTGCAAATACTCAAAAAAGGTTCAAATGTTACGTTGCATTGCATTTTGAGTTTCAACTATTAGATTCGTTAGATTACGATTACTATTTTATTGAGTTTAATATAAACATTTGAAATAACTTATGTTTCTTTAGAAAATTGATGAGTATTATAGGTTTAACTTTATTTTATTGTTAAATTATTGAATATTAAATATAATATATACTACATAAATAAAAAATATTATATAATATCAAAACGTGTCCTAACGTGTAAAAATTTAACATTTTTTAGAATTAACATGTCGGAGTGTCGTGTCGTGTCGTATCCCGTGTCCGGTGTCGGTGTTGGTGCAACATAGTCTACAGCTACCCAAAATGATTAATGAGGGTGTTTTTGTAATTTTAGGTGAATTAATGAAGGATATTTTCGTAATTTGCTTATTTTTTTATCATATCAATTTTACCGAAACATTCTTAATTAATTCACCTAAAATTACAAAAACACCCTTCATTAATCAAAACGACGTAATTTTCGGAATAGCTATAGATAATCTTATATAAAGTGACTATAGAAATGTTTTTTCCTATATATATATATAGGATCTTTTGACACCTCAACTGAGAGCCATTAGATAAAAAAGGATCAACGACTCTGATTTGTAAG